TTTTGCTTCAACTCCGCTTCGGCCATTCACCCATAATCTCTCAAGCAATGTTCCTGAATAATACGGACAGGATATCAGACCGTTCTTCTCCTTCGGAGTGTTTCGTTATTTCTGCCTGTTGATACCAAAGTCATCGACAGCTCCTACACCGTGATGGCAATGATTTTATAACCTTACCTGGATATGTTTTTTTGGCATGTTTTCTCGTTTATTTAAGGACGTTCTCATGACAAGATGAGTGGCACCACAAGAGCAGTTTGCACTTGCTATGTGAAGCGCAGGCAATGAGTAGCAGTCTTCGTGTTGTTCGTGCTGGTAGCATGACTGTTCTTCTTGCCACTGCTGCTACCATCTGCTGACCAGAACGGTCGCGTCACCTCCCGTTGGGTAGTTCGCACGTAGAGGTAGGCGTCCTAGATTGTTGGCTTGACTTGAGCTTCCTCTCATCCCTAGGAGACTAGGGGGTCGTGCAGCCCTTGCCCCCTTGAACTCCCAGTCCTAGCCTAGCACCCAAATTCCAAACATGGCGCAGTGCAAGAGTTTTCCCCGCTGAGAGCGTGCCTGGCCTCGTTAAACCAGATGTCTGCTCGTGCCGTGGAGGCATAAAAGTCGATGGTGCAGTTCAGAAGTGATTGCTGCTGTTACTGTCATCGTTATGAGTTGTAGCTTAAGTTATCTAGGACCCAGAGTAGGCCCTTATTCCCTTTTTAAGGGTTTAGGTTCCCTTATAACCCCCTTTAAACCAAAAAGGGCACCCTTTTTCTTCCTAGGTTACTCTGGGGTCTAGTTATAGTGCTGTGGTTGTTGGGTTTTTGTACTGTCGGCATTGACACTTTTTGAATGATTGTGGTTGTCATGAGTGGTAACTAGGCTCATTGCACTCAGTAGTCGCGGCAAACTTCCCAAGACACGGTACATGAGAATCTCAAGACAGAAGCACATGGATTTAACGACCATCACGATGCTCCAGGAGGTGACAATATATCGTCACGCCTTAGCACCCCGAGCCAATACGCTACTTGCCTTCTCCAGATTTGTGCTGTGGTGGCATTAGTGCAACTGAAGTGGCCTGTAGTGCCCTTCGATTTGGGAACTAGACCTGCTTTTCGCTATGTTGCGTTTTCTTGTGGTTCGCATACCCCAGACAAAGCTGCAAACGATGTTCTTTCACTTGCCAGCTCAAAGGCAACGCAATAGCCCTACGTAAACCCCGAACACAAAGCCTAGTACACCCCAAACCCTAAGCCCTAAAGCCCAAACCCTCAACCATAAACCCCGAACCCTGGGCCGCTGGTAGGGGCCAGTCCGCACGGAGGAGGTCGAAGAGCAGATCGCCAAGCTTATAAGGCGGCTACATCAGCTGGGGTTTTCGGTTCACGGGTTTAGGGTTGAAGGGTTGAGGCTTTAAGGGTTTAGGGTTTAGGAATTACGACTTAGGGTTTCGTTAGGAGGGTCTCGTTAGGAGACCAACACCTATAAATACGAACATTTCTATTATTCTTTACAATTTTCGAGTGGTTTTCTCGAATTTTCCCACCGGGATTCATGGCCAGTAGCAGGATCCCTGTATATATACATATAGCTTGGAAAGCCCTTGGAAGGCTTAAGTTAGCTTTTTCCATACCGATGCTCCCGCTGGGTGGCCCAAAGGCCCGGGAAGGCTTAAGTCAGGCCAGGAAAGGCCCATACCCAAGACATGAGACTCGTCAGGACACTGTTGAATCTTGACATGCAGAGATATATTCATGTTCGCTTGTGGTCGTAGAATCTCCAAAGCCATTGCTTGATCTTGTTTCTGATGCCTTTGAGGCACAATTACGGGTCAGAAGTCTCCGAATATCAGTTTCTGATCATGCTTCTGTTGCTGTTCAGCTGTATTTGGGTCGTAGTGACGGGCATTAACCCCTTCGAGACCAGCCATTAAGGGTGTTTTTTCTGCTATTGAACAGTTTTTGAGTCGTGTTAACGGGTAAGAACCCTCCAAATCAAGTCATAACACCCTCCGAAACAAGTTTCTGATCATGCTTGTGCTGTTGTTGAATTGAAAAAAACGCATAATAGCCCTCCGAAAGCAGTTGCTGAGCAGGCTTCTGGTGCGAGAATCCCTTCAATACCAGTGCCTGAGCAAGCCTATTCTGCTTTTGAGTCGCATCATACCCAGAAAATTATTTTAGGTTGCACTTAGATCAAGCAACAAGCCTTCCAAAGTCTGTCGGTGAACAGGTTTCAGCTGCTTGTCAGCTGCTTTTCAGCTGCTTTCAGCCGCAATAATGTACCTCCAAGAACGGTGCCTCAATAGGCATCCGCCGCTATTCAGCTGCTTTTGAGTCGCAATAAGTAAATATTCCGAAATATTCCAAAGTAGTGACAACAGAGGAAACTTTTTGCCGCTTATATACTGTTGTAAGAAGATAGCAAAAGATTGCAGAAAGTGCAGTGCCATGGCAATTCATAGCCTGTATGCAAGCTGTGCGCCGAGTGAGCCAGATTCTTGGAGTGAGTCCGAATCGGCTGGCTCGGCTGGGTTCCTTGTTTGCAAACATGGCTACAAGGGCAAATTATCTGGGATGTCTGTGCGTCTTCTGTGACTTCTTCTGAGTCTTTCTTCTTCTGCTACTTATGTAAGGTTTCGTGATGCCTCCCGTTCACCACGGAATGCGGCAAGTGCGTATGTTTCTACTACCTGGGCTAAGCGGTTGACAGCAGCAGTTGGTGTGCCGCTGCAAAATCTGCACGAGCCTCTTCGTGTTCCTTTGGTTGCCTGGGCAGCACCAGTTTGGCATAGCGGCGTGTGTGCGTGCAATGTCTTGTCAGTTGCAACGTTCGTAGATCAGTCGTTAAACTGGAGGTAGTGGCCACTGCATGCAGTGGAACTGGTGCGCCGAGCTTCGCACTACGTGAGCTGGTCGGGACTCGCAATTTCAGAGAGGTTATTTCCTCTGAGAGCCATGCACCTTGCCACCCAATTCGGTACGGCCCGGTATAGCATAGCTGGAGATGTACTTTTGTGCTGCGTTAAACAGTTAAACACGGCAGAATCCAATGTATGAGGCTGCGACGCGGGAATGGTTCATGAAGAACCATGACGTCCAACATTGTTTTTCGCATATGGCATCTGCAAGGACAAGGGCCACACTGCATTGACGAGCAATGGTAGGCTGCATGCCACCATTTTTAGTTTTAGTCCGGAGATCTGCGTGCGCGCAGGACCGGTGGCTATTGCGCCAAGCACAAGGCCATATGTCCGGCCGTGACGGAGGACCTGCTGACGGGAAGTGTAACGACGGGTCTAGATTTCATTGAAGGTTTTGCTGCTTTTGCTGGTGCACAGGAAAGCATCGACCTGTTCGTGTGCGGCTTCACGTGCAAATTGTTTTCTCAAGAAAGCAATGCCAGATTCAAGCATGCTGCAGTTCCGGAAATGTTCGCCCCCAACGGAAAGGTAGCAGCCAGGCTGTGTTGTTGATGCGGTAGCTTGCTCTTGGCTCTGTAGGTCATGTTGCATCATGCTATATAAAATTACGGAAATAGGCAGTGTGTTGGAGCCAAGGTGCCAAAGGCGATTCCATTTGTTGAGGCGTCCCGGTTTATAAACACGTTCAGACCGGCGTGACTTGGCCCAGTTGGTGAGCTTCCTGAGCGGAGCCTGCAAAATTGCTAAGCAAGTCTGCTAAGCTAAGGACCGCGGTGCTCGAGAACGTCACAGGATGCCTGAAGAAGGTGCATGCCCAGATCCCGGACGATGCCGAGTACAAGGCCACAGGGCGGGGCGTGACTGCCGTGCCTTTGCTCTTTAGCCATCAGAGAGTGTCTTGCATAGCAGCAGCGCCGCCGGCGTAGGCCCCAAGCATGAAGCAGCTGCGTGTTGCGAGGGTAGTAAAGTTTAGTAGTACTTAGTACTTAGTAGGAGAGTCAGTTTGACTAGTCCCAGTACAGTAGTAAGTTAGTAGGTAGTAGTTAGTTAGTAGTAAGTAGTAAGTTAGTAGTTAGTTGCAGTTGCATGCTGGTGCCGAGTGCAGCGTTGTCTCGTTGCCATGTGGAGACATTTTGCTGCATCAGTGGGGCCACAGAATGTTGACGCCGGCCCTGGGAATGCTATTGTCGTTGCAGAGGCCTGCTGTGTGAGGCAGAGATAGGCGAGCTAGGTCCATGAGGATCAACTTTATCTGAAGTTTTCTGAGCAGAGTAGAGCCTTCAGTAGATTGCAATTATAGTCGGGATCCTGGTTGGTTTCGGTTCAGGGTTTTCTGGTTTCGGTTTTTCGAAGGCTATGTGGTTCCCCGATGCCCCAATCCCCAAACGCCCTGGGTTTGCCTGGAGAACACTGCAGACGCCCAAGTTACATTATTCAGGATTCAAGCATCGGGGTGGCAGATTCTTGATCAACCTCTGTACCGTCATGGAGTCATGCCCAAAAAAACAGCTCTGAACCGCCAACACCAACCCCACAGCCTTCCTCCCTGAAACCTTAAGGGACCCTTTTGCCTTCTGGAGGTTCGGGGGTTTAAGGTGGAGGGTTTAGGGTTTGAGTCTGAGTGCGAAGGTTCTGGGCTTTGGGAGCTTTGGGTTCGGGGGTCAGGGATTCTTTCAAAGGGAACACTTGGAGAACCGGGGGCAAGAAAGCCACAGCTATACGGACTTGGCCAGGTAATTTGGCAGCTAAAGATATGGTCTAGTCTAGTTGCCTCAGCCCGAAGCTCCCAGAACGAGGAACCAACATAGGTTTTGGCTTTGGTGATTTGGGGTTTCGGGGAATTCCGATATTCCGATGCTCAGGCGCACACCCCTGAGGCGCCCCAAACTCAGAAAACCCACGCCTTCAATCCCGAACCTTGAGCCAAAAGCAGCGAAAGCCCAAACCTCCAAGCACTCCAGCAACACAAGACCAACCGACCCATCGTTGGTTAAATTAACCCTAAGCTTAATAACTACTTATAGTTTATAACTAACTTATAACTTATAACTATACCGCCTATACTTGTACCCTGTAAAGGGGGCAGATGCCCGTGGAGTCCAGCACTGCTTTCGATCACGCGGAAAAGGACATCGAGCGGCGGTGATGGCGGGCATTGCTCGCAAGCAAATCCGGCAGGCGGCGGAGGAAATGAAACATCAGAATCTTTCAGCAGCTCAAGACATTAGCAGGATCGTCTTTGGACCATTTGGACGAGGTCAAAATTCAGCTGCGGCAAGGAAGGTGTTCTTCAGCTGAAGTAGCTAAGGACACACCCATTTTAGGCTACTTTTGTGGTATGTGGGGAGGGCTGATTAAGGCATACGGCCTCATACTCTCTGTCTACTGTTGCTGTATGTTGATGAAATTTACATGTAGCCTGTAGCCTAAACATCAATCATAAATCATAAATCATAAACCGTAGAAGCCGAGGCAGGAGTACTATCAGTTCTTTGATCACGACGGTAACATCAGCGGCTACGCTGGCACGACAAGGAAGGACAGCGGCCTGGCACGTTACAAGACAATTGGGCTCCTCTCTCACTTCATTGCGCAGAAGCAAAGTTTCATGCAGTGGTTGAGGGATATGAAACCAATTCACTGCATATTTATCCGTGTCTTCGACGACACAAATATCTGGGTGACTCCGGAGACTGGCCCTGCGAAAATGGAAGACATAGATGAGGACTTGGCGCAGGCAGAGAGACAAGAAAACGGGGAGGAAAATGAGGAGGAGGAGGGCTTGAATTGCTCCAAGAAGGGCCGCACCGGGCGGCGTAAAGTGCAGGCACTGCTGGGAATGTTGCAGTGGGCTGTTGCCCGACGGTCTGAAAGTCGGAGGGCAGCCACCGATGCTGTTGAATGTGTGCAGCTGTTCGCCCCTTCGCAAGTCATGCCGAAGGCAGGAGAGGTTTTCGTTTCGGGCGGTGACAGAAACTCAGAAACTTAATCCATAGTCCGAGAGATAGTCCTGAGTCCTGAGTCCTAATTCCTAATATACAGCCTGAGGCAATACCGTCGATACCGATACCACTTACTTACTTACTTCCATTACTTCGTACTTCGTACCTTACCTTCTTTCAATTCCTTTCAAACGAGTCAAGCAATGCGTCAATCAGTCGTCATACCAGACCATACTCATATGACCCGATTTCATATGGAACTTCGTATGCAGCATATGCAGGCGAACGCCGCAACCCTGCTCGACCGAATTGGGAAATGGATGCTGCCGGGTGATGCAGTGCCGCCTGCACATCTTGGTGGCGAAGCTCTCAGCAGCACTCTTCGAGAGATCCCGTTTAAAGTCGTACTTACCTGCACCTTGCCACATTAAAAGAGTCAAAGAGTCCATCTATCATAGGTAACTAAATACTAAATACTAGTTAATACCTACTTATGAACTTATTAATACTGTACTACTGAGTACTAAGTACTATGTACTAAGTTTATAGATTAAATTTACTTATGGAAGTTATAAATTAGTATATATTAATATTTACTTATTTATAGTAAATATAAATTGTGAATTTCGTAAGTTATTAAGTACCTAGGTACAGATGCCCTGACTGCGAACGTATCAGCCTTGGCATTGGAGCAGCAACGTGTGCTGCAGCGGCGGCAGGCCGGTGGCGATGGCACGGTGACAGCACTGGCCCATGCATTTTGCAATCACCACCAATGTGCATTAGCGAAAAAACCTCAGATTCTCAGAGTGGACGGTGTGGCGACAGGCAGCCTGTTGCAATCAACTTAGACTTCAACAGTGCAGTTGAGTTCAATGAGAGAGCATTTTTTCAGTTTAGGTCCCTTAACTTAACTCCCTAAGGTCCCTACCCCCCTAACCAAGCCCAGGCCTCGTTCGCATGGCTAATGCTTTCAGGGGCACTCTCTTCAGACAGAGACTTGACAACGTGCTGGCCTCGCTGGCACGCTCTGCTGTGAGACACGAAGTGGCCTCGTTACCTGCGTCCACCCAAGGCGAGATTGCGAGCAACTCTGGGCTGCTGCGACAATGCTCCCTGGGGCTTACGGAAGAGCAGATAGCCCTTACGCTGCAGATGCTCAATACGGACTGGTCGGAGCCATTGGAGATGGGAGAGCCTCTGCGCCATTTTTGTGAGCCTGGCTGTTGCGGGAGCTTGCGCGAGTTCCGCAAACGGATGCGGCAGGTGCTGGATGGACTGTTCGCTCATCTGTTCGCCTGCCCACTGCTGTATCGATGGAAAAACTTTGATGAGGCTTGCACATGGGTTGCGCGGGGCATGGTGATCCGGGGCTTGTTGAAGCAAGTTTGGGGCCTCTGCAAGCAAGATGCCGCAGATAATCTGGAAGATCTTGTGGCACTCCAGGCTTTGGATGAAGACAATCCAGATGTGAACCCCAGCTTGCGGCAGCAGATTCGAGTAGCCAAAGTTATGGGCCTGCTTTCGGAACCAGACGCGGCAGCCCGCTTCCTGAAGACCGTATTGGTGTCTCGACCCCTTACAGCCTACATGGACAAGATGGCTTTCCTTGAAACATGCCGATCACGGTTTCGCTTGCGCATGCGGGGCTTGAAGTTGCCGCACAGCAAGTGTACGCATTCAACGCTTGATGATATCGTTCAGTTGGCATTGGAAGTCACCCAGGGAAGGGCAGGCAGAGCGGTTGTGGCAGAATTTTCTACAATGCTGATGACAGCGCCGAGCGACGCCATGTGGTACAACCATTTGGGGCTTGGCAAGTCCAGTTGCATGGAGCTTCTTCTCATAGGTGCGGCAGACGGCTACAGGCGTCTAGTGTTACCTTTCAGTTGCCAGCCCTGGCAACTGCTGGGTGTGTCTGCATCCACACCAGAAGCAGCCTTAGCGTCCATGGAAGCGCAGTGCCGGCAGCATGCTAATTGCGACCAATGCAATGATCCAATGTTCAGCAAGGCATCCGTCTCTGCATTTCCACAAGGGTTTTCTGTTTTCTCATGTAGTAAGTCGGAATAGAAATCAGTACTGAAATTAAAAAGACTAAAACGTAAGTATACAGTAGTAGTACAGTAATACTAGTACAATCGGTAGTCTATAAGTCTATGGTCTAGTCTATAAGTCCTTAAGTTATAAGTTATAAGTTATAAGTTATAAGTTATAAGTCTATAACTCTATAATTTATAGAATAATAGATTTATATTCTCACTATTTAATCCAACTTAATCTATCCCGTCTAGCAGTTTCCAAACCTCAGAGGTTTTTCTGGACTGGGCACTGGGTCCTTCACTGCCACACGAAGTGAAGCTGGAGCGAGTGGAACATGTGCAAGTGCTTTTGCGTGATGTGCTGGGGCAGCTGCCATTGAGCAGCATCGACGTAGAGAGATCGCATGCAAACGTTCAAGTAGACATGAATGCTACGAAGCCTGTGCCGAAGAGACCGTCGAATGCACAATGCGACGCCTATATATGCTGTGTAGCACTTGAACACGAGCACACCAAGAAGCAAGTCGAGTTGGAAACATTGGGCACAAATCCCGTCAGGGTCAAGAAGAGTATGCGAACTCGTAAGATTGAAACCGGTGCACCTGGGAACGGCTTGTGTTTGGGACGCCTGGGCTTCAACGCTGACGGAACGGTGAAGGGCAAAGATGGCCTCCTCAAGGGTTTACTGCCAGAGGCTGAGAGTGGTTTTGGTCTGGGGTCATAGTCCATTGTTTTGTAGCTTTATAGCCCGCACTTATATGCTGATTATGCTGCTGATAAAACACATAAGATCTTTTTCTACTATAGACTAAATTATCTAGGGTTCTTTCAATAATTCGCGTAAATGCAACTTACATTACATCACCAATTATACTCAGTTTCACATAATATTTGTACAATTATCTGATTATCTAGTACCTAGGTCGGTCAAGGCTGGGGGTGTGCGGAAGACTCGGGCCGAGACGCGCCGAGTCAGTGGCTTCAATGCTTTCCAGAAGGCCAACAAGCAATCTGGCTTCAGCAAGGGGCTGGCTTTATAGATTTCTTGTCATCGTCTTGCTTTGTTAGTAAGTCAGCAACTGAGATTTGTGTTGGTTCGAGGCATCTCTTCAAGCACTCGCGCTTGGGGAGCGCTGAGAATCGTCTGGAAACCAGGCATGTAGGCGAGCTCTGGCGCAGTTTGTCGGCGGAGGCTCGCGAGCGGTACGAGCAACAGGCGCGAGCGATGCAAGCTGCGCGGGATGATTTGAAAGGAAAGGTGCTGTCGTCGACATCTTCCGCAACAGAAGCTGTGGAGAGTGAGATCTTGAGCCACTCCCAAGTTAAACGATTGAACAACAGCAGATTGGACAAGACGCTGGGTCAGGTGTCGGGGCACCCTGTGTGGCAGGCCGGCTTGGGCCTCTCGGATCATGTGGCTGCTCTGAGGGCGAAACTGGTCTTGGAAGTGCCAGATTCCAGTGCTATGCGAGGTGTCAAACGCCAGCATGACGAAGCTTTCTCGTATGACTCACGAATTGTGCCGAACCCGCCGCTCCCCAAATTCATTCGCCCCTGCTGCTTGCTGCATGGCGGCACTTGTCAGTGCGACCCTCATTTTGACATGATGCAACGCTATCTGAAGCAGTTTCATGACAATCTGATTGCTGAGCGACTTGGCGGCAGTCCTAACCTTGTGGAGCTCAGACCTGACAACGCCGAAACCTCGACTTGGGTGATTGTCGCAACAGTGGCACTACGGCCTCAGTGCCACATAGTCGTCCATTTGCATTCTGAGAACGGGTTCCTGCACCTGTCGATGCAGAACGGCAGCGTGTCTTTGGGCACAATGCATCGAGTCATACGCAAGCTGCTCGTTGTGGCCTCCCGAGGAGGCACAGATCCGTCTGAGTTCTGCTGCACTGTGGCTGTGGCTGGCAATTATTCGGGGGAAGTCATAATTTTACTACTTATAACTTATAACTTTATATCGCTTGTGACTTACGACTTAGAACTTAGAACTTAGGACTTGTAACCTGTAACTTGTATTTAACCACATATGGCAACTTCTTCCATAAACTGGTGATGTGTGGACGTGATGTAAGAGTCACAAATCAAGTATAAGGTTCGCCATTATGGTGTACCTGAGATGGATGATTCGGAGGAGATGCAATTCCTCCAGCCTGACGAGGCTGAGGCGTTGTCGGAGCATCTCTTGGGGGGAGTGGACAGGCCTGGAGAGCGACGGATGCCAGCGGCACCCGCCGGGGGTTGTCGGCTGCCTTTTGGGTTATCTGCCACTAGGACCGGTGTTTGACAATTTTGGAATATGACTAATATTATTATAGTCTTATACTTATACTTATACAATGTAACTTTATATAGTTTGGTTTAAATTTATATTTATATTAATATAATATAACAGAACATAATACAACTGCTATAAGTACAACTTATAACTCTGACTCTAACTCTACTGTAAGAATAGAGTACTCTACAAGTTTTGTATTACATTGCAGAATCATAGGTATGCTTCTAGCTCCTAGGTCCTAGCTCCTTCCTAGCAGCTGAACGGTTCCTTGTACAGTAGCAGGACGACGAAGGCGCGCAAACCAACGAGCGAGAGCAAATTGGGCAAGGGCAAAGATGCCGCGATGGGAGCGGATGAGGCCGCTGGCGAGACTTTGCCGGTTCGGCCGCTTGGGTTAAAGTTAAATTAGGTAAGTTATGTCGACAAAATATGAGATGGGTCTCAGTCTATCGTAGTTAGAGTTAGAGTCAGAGTCTCACATAGAGTGTTAGGGTCAGATGATAGACCCCTTTGTTGGAGCAGCGCCAAAGGCCGTTGGCGGACAAGGCGGAGCCGGCGGAGCAGATTGAGCTTGAATCATCGCTGGCGGAGGGCGGCTGCCTTTTAAGCCCTGCTGCACAAGCTGAATTGGACCTGGCTATGCAGCTGCAAAGACATGCCGACCAAGAACAGGAGGATGATGCACAGCCACCTCGTCGGAGTAGCGGTTCTGGTGCGCCAGAGTCGGACCCTACTGCCGCGCCTCGTGGAAGCCGTGATCCGCTGCCACGTGGAGGGCCCAATGCTGAATCTGTGCCTAGCCTAGCCCTTTAGTATTTATGTATTGGTATGATTCATATGATTCTTGTGATAGTATGATAGTCGTTAGTTAGTCATTCAGAAGTTTGTAGTGATAGTACTAGTACTAGCAATATTGTAGTAGTAGTCGTCGTCGTAGTAGTAGGGCCATAGACTAGACATAGCTATAGGCTTATAGGCTATAGACTATAGGGTATGGGGGCTATAGGCTATAGGCTATAGACTATAGACTCATAGGCTTAGGTTTTTATTGGGTTTGGAAATTTAGATTTAGAACTTAGAACTTAGAACTTAGAACTATAATTTTCTACAGCTGAATTTTTCTGTGGGTTTATCAACGTACTCACTCCTCAAGGTGGCTGCGAGTGCTTCTGGCTCTGTGTTCCATCATCGGCTAGGTATCCTGAGTGTGGGCTGGGTGCAGCGCGCACATGTCACCTGCTACTTTTGTCAGGGCAGGATATCAAAGGGTGCAATGAGGTTCGAATACGCACACAAGTTGAACAAGCCTGCCCGGTCTATTCATGCAGGCTGCCTAGCACAAATCCCAGACGATGTTTTGCCGGCTTCCATCGGGACACTCGAGCGGGCTCTTTCGTCTCGATCGCTGTCGCGATCTGACCACGCGGCGTGTCAAGAAGCTGTGCAGGAGCTACAGTTTAGGCAGTAATGAGCCATTTATGAGACGTGAGTTTGCAGCAGCTTCAATCCTGTTGGGAAACATGAAAGATTCATGATTCAAGGAATTTGCAGCTGGCCATGTGACCAGCGAATCAAGTGGGCCACTTCTGTGGTTTGCACTCTTGAACAGGGTGCAGGCGTGTACCATAGGCCATAGGCCGCGCAGGTCCATAACCGGGCACACCGGGGCGCCGTATATTAGCTTATGCTGCAGTTATGCTGTTATGCTAAGTTAGACTGTAGTATGCTCGGTTTTGCTATGTTGCCATGGAATGCCTATGCTATATAATTTATGTAATGCTGCTTATCGGATCACTTATAAAACTTATAACTTATAGCCGCTTATAACAACTTATAACTTATACTTATCACTGTTATCATATCAATGATCAAGGAAGGCGCTCCGAGTGCACGTCCAGTGCTTCTGCCCTCAGCCAATTTGACTGTTCCAGCGATTTGCTCACCGAGCTGTGACGGAACCCATGCATGCAGAAATGGTGCTTCTTGGGAGTGAGTGTGCATGTTCTGATGTCAGTATGTCAGTCACGTCAGCATGTCACGTCACAGTTCAGCTATGTCAAGTTATGTCATGTCGCCTGTCGCCATGTCATGTCCTGTGCCGGTTGTGCTTTTGCCAGACTCCGCTTGACTTCATGTTGAACGGCGTGCTCCGGATCGATGGGAACGAGGAGCCCATAGGCTTCAATCATATCCAGGGCTACAAGACAGAGGTCCACGATCTACGGACACAAAGCTGCATCCAGCTGCTTTGTCGGTAGCCCAACCCTTGCAGGCTGCCATGCTGCAATCTGTGTTAGTTGGCCGGCTGCGTTGCAAGTGAGGAGTTCAGACTTTGGCCTCCCACAGTCACGTCCGAGACTGTATTTTGTACTTCTACGAGAAGATGTTCTTGAACGAGCACCCCAAGCTCACGTTGCACACACCGCAGTTATCATGTTATCATGGACGTGATCAGTAGTGAATTCAAACCTACGGTTGTATGCTGATTGATTGCTGTTACGACACCAAGGAGCAGATCCGCTCAATGATGATGGCTTTACGGTCTGCTTACCAGAGGCCGGCGACTATGGCTGAGCTTTTCCGCTATACGGATGATGCTTCCCATGACTGGGAGGACGTGCGTGAGGCTGGGCAGTTCGACGATCAGTTCGATGTGCCAACATAATTTGTATTGCCACAAACTAGCGCCGCTCAAATTCTCAAATGCCCAGGATGAGGAACTTGCCAAGCAGTTCAATCGTCCCGCCTCCGAACCTTTACCGGCGCAGCTCAACTGCAAATTTGCCGCCCTGCCGCCTTTGCAGCCTTGCGCAGTGGTCCGTCTGGTCCCATGCAGCGTGGTCGGCTTGTCTAGTCACGTACGGTCAGTCTGGTTTTGTCATATCATATCTAGTCCGAGTCCGGTAGGCAGTTAATTAATAAAGAATAAATAAATAATTAATAATAAAGCTATATTATTAAATAAGTTGATAGTAAACAGTGCGAAGTGCTAAGTTAGTCCAGTTTAGTCGAGTCCGGTCTGGTCAAGTCAAGTCATGTCTAGTCTGAGTCTAGTCTAGTCAGGTCAGTGTAGTCCAGACCCGTCGAGTCTGGTCTAGCCGGTCTAGCATAGCATAGTCAGCATAGTCAGTCGATGAGTCGATATCGTCAGTCTAGTGTGGCGTCCGGATAGTTAGTCGGTGCAGCTCCTGCCGCCTCGTGACTTTGTGAGCTGTCATCCCGCAGCTACTGAAGCCATCCGGGCTTTGACTGAAGATTTCTGATAATGTCATATGAGTCGAGTCATATTCTGAATGAACCATATCATATCATGGCACCGTATACCGTATGCCTAGTTGGTTACCTCATCATCGAATCATATCATACAATAAATAAGGCTTGAGGCAAGCCCGCAGCTAAAAAGGTTTTAGGCTTAGGCAACTGAGGCCTAGGTAGAAAGAGCTTCGTCTGCCGTCTGTGTCCGCGCGACACTTTGCGACTTCGCGTGTTTCCAATGGCACGACCTCCCTCGCGCAAGTACAAGCGGCGCTTTCGGTCAGGCATGACATTTAGTCTATGGGCATACGTGCGGCTGAGAGCCGTAGCTCAAGAGGCTAACGAAGCCGATGTCCAATTGGACACCCTCCGCGCGGTAGTTTCCGATGTGAGCTGGAGGACCAATGCTTTATGTTCACACTGCAGACAGGTCGTGAGTGCGATCATTGCTAAAGGCCTACCGTAGGCTTGATCTGGCTGGCTGGCTGACCGCAGTGCCCCTATGTCTACAACAATGGGCAGACCCTCGGCGGCATTGTGGCACGTGGCTTCAGTCCTCCACCGCAGTCGTACACTAGAAGACTAGAACTAACCTAAATCTAAACCTAAACCCACTGCCACTAAACCTAAACCGCCTAAACCGTAAACCCTATAGAGAGTGATCAGTGACAACTGCTGAATGAAGAACAAATGATGAATGTTAAGTTAAGTGATGACGACTATAGACATAGGCTGTCTAGACTGTTAGTTATACGTTATACAGTACAATTTTAAAACTATAGACTATGACTATAACTATAACATAACCTAACCTACCTGATTCCCTGATTAACTACGATTACTCGATGACGACGACGATAACCTAATACTGATACTAATACTTGCCTATCAAGCCAATACTGTTCGTCGCGTCGGGTAGATAAGATAGGTAAATGGCAAACCCCTCTTTCCATAAACTCCTTCAAGAAGTCTCGACGTGAGGCCCGGATGTAGGCCAAGTAAAATGCACTTCTTGGCAAGTGCTCCGAGCAAACACAACTTAGTGCGACAGAGACAAAACTTTCATCCTGCTGATGTAAATCGATACACCCGGACACTAATCCCTACACAGTTAAGTTAAGTTAGGAGTGAGGAGTTAGTTAGAAATTTAGAAATTTAGAAATAGTTAGTTGTCAGGAGTTAGGAACCACGAGGGGTTTACTCGTTTAGGGGTTCTGGGTTCGGGGGATTGGGGCATCAGGTACTAGTTAGGTAGTCAGTAGTCAGGTAAGGAGTGGTTCAAGTATTCGTGACATGAGATGAGACTGTTCCTAAATGTTAAAAGTTCAGAGTTATAAGTTATAAGTTATAAGGTAAGTTATAAGTTATAAGTTTTATAATTATATATATAAATGAAAATTTCAATATAAGTTATAAATAAATATATCTATGTCTATATCTATATCTATATCTATATCTTATATCTATATCTATACCTTATATCTATATCTATATCTATATCTATATCTATATCTATGTCTATATCTATATCTTTATCTACATATATATATATATATATATATATATATATATATATATATATATATATATATATATATATTATATTATTATATTATATTCACGTCAATTTATAATATATATATTTATATATATATACATGAATCATCCCATTATTATTGATAATTAAAATCACTACTAGTTATCAGTTATCAGTTTTCATTAGTATTGTTATCATTAATGATAACAGTAATGACAACAGTTCTACAATAGTATTATCAACGAATACTATGCATAATTCTATATTCATAATATTGAATTTCTAAATCACCTGCAAAAAAAAGATGGTATTATAGACTGCTCTGGAACACAATCATAATCTAATTTATAATTTATAAATTTATAAATTTATAGATTTATAAATTAAAACTTATAACTATATAGTCGTACAGTTACTACTATAATTATAACTATGACTACAAAGAATATAATATAATATAACTATAGCTATAACTATAACTATAACTATATCTTATAGCTATAATATATAACTATAACATAACTATAATTTACTTTGCAGTAGGTTTGTGTTCGGTCATTTTGGGCAAGGAAAGTCTTGGAGCATCGGAAGGAGAGATCAGATCACGGCGGGAAGCTGTTGCTGGGTCCCCTGAAGTGGGATGGGGCAGCAGTGACCCAGAGCAAGGACAAGGGTTGGTGATCCTTGTGTTGAAAGAGCTTGAGGGCTTACGGACTGAGTAACGCCAGCTGAGGTCATCGTCGATGAGAGACGGCCAATGAGGTGTGTGGCATGGCATGGGGTCATGGCTCATATCCCGACCAGTCCTGGAATTGGCAGCTGAGTCTGATGCCGTGATGCCTAGCTCAGATCAGACAAGTCACTGATGCTGACAAGTTGTGTCAGACGCATGATTCAGACAGGAGAGGAGTTCAAAACAGTGCCGAACGGTCCCAACGGCTCCTCACCAATCCTACACGCAGGACATCCACTTACTCCAGCCGGGTCCTGAGACGTGTCTATGCCTGGAAGGCTTGGGCCAGCTCATGCCAGCAAGTCCCGAACAGTCCCGAACGGTCCCGAACGGTCCTGAATGGTCCGGACCATTCCTGGGGGACGTGTCTAAGCCTGGAAGGCTTGGGCCAGCCATGCCACCAAGTCCCGAACGGTCCCGAACAGTCCCGAACGGTCCCGAACGGTCCGGACCATTCCTGGGGGACGTGTCTAAGCCCGGAAGGCTTAGGCCAGCTCATGCCACCAAGTCCCGAACAGTCCCGAACGGTCCCGAACAGTCCCGAACGGTCCCGAACGGTCCGGACGATTCCTGGGGGACGTGTCTAAGCCCGGAAGGCTTAGGCCAGCTCATGCCACCAAGTCCCGAACAGTCCCGAACAGTCCCGAACGGTCCCGAACAGTCCCGAACGGTCCCGAACGGTCCGGACCATTCCTGGGGGACGTGTCTAAGCCCGGAAGGCTTAGGCCAGCTCATGCCACCAAGTCCCGAACAGTCCCGAACGGTCCCGAACGGTCCCGAACGGTCCCGTACGGTCCGGACCATTCCTGGGGGACGTGTCAAAGCCTGGAAGGCTTAGACCAGCTCATGCCACCAAGTCCCGAACAGTCCCGAACGGTCCCGAACGGTTCCGAACGGTCCCGAACCTTTCCAGTAGCCTAGCACAGAACTATGAACTATGACTATGACTATGACTATGACTATATGACTCTGCCTATACTCACACTATGACTATGTATACAACTATGACTATAATATTGACATAGTCTGAGTATAGGCATAGTCATATCACGACTATGCCTATACTCAGACTATGTCAATATTATAGTCATAGTTGTATACATAGTCATAGTCTGAGTATAGGCAGAGTCATATAGTCATAGACATAGTCATAGTCATAGTTCATAGTTCTGTGCTAGGCTATTGGAAAGGTTCGGGACCGTTCGGAACCGTTCGGGACCGTTCGGGACCGTTCGGGACTGTTCGGGACTTGGTGGCATGAGCTGGTCTAAGCCTTCCAGGCTTTGACACGTCCCCCAGGAATGGTCCGGACCGTACGGGACCGTTCGGGACCGTTCGGGACCGTTCGGGACCGTTCGGGACTGTTCGGGACTTGGTGGCATGAGCTGGCCTAAGCCTTCCGGGCTTAGACACGTCCCCCAGGAATGGTCCGGACCGTTCGGGACCGTTCGGGACCGTTCGGGACCGTTCGGGACTGTTCGGGACCGTTCGGGACTTGGTGGCATGAGCTGGCCTAAGCCTTCCAGGCTTAGACACGTCCCCCAGGAATGGTCCGGACCGTTCAGGACCGTTCGGGACCGTTCGGGACCGTTCGGGACTGTTCGGGACTTGGTGGCATGAGCTGGCCCAAGCCTTCCAGGCAAAGAGATGTCCCTTAGGATTACTTAGGATTTAGGATTGGTCCGGACCGTTCGGGACCGCCCAGCCAAGAAACTGGGCCGGCTTATCAGGTTTCTCACCGGGACTGTCAAGACCGTTCGGCAAACAGTTGTCTCAGATGTCTTCCGATTCCTGATCTCAGACACATGACCTTTTGGATCAATCATGTAATTAAATCGACTTCAATTTAACTTGTGAATAGTTTGAATTTAATGTATAGTTTGTATTTATACAAATGTAATTTAATTCTATATTTATACTTTTAAATTAATGATAAAATTATACAGTACACAGTATTTCTGATTTCGAATACCCAGTACTACTACTACTGTAAAATAATACTTAATAACTTCATACTTATTATAAATTAAATTATAGATTATAACTTATAACTTATAACTTACAACTTATAACTTAAAGCTTTATAAGTTATAACTACTTATAACTTTATTACTTTATAACTTATAACTTTTAATTTAATACTAATTAGTAGTAGTAGTAGTAGTAGTAGTAGTAGTAGTAGTAGTAGTAGTAGTAGTAGTAGTAGTAGTAGTAGTTGTTGTTGTTGTTGTTGTTGTTGTTTAGTGTACATTTAAACTTTGATTCAGCTTGTTTCGTTCTCTCTAATTTTAGAAAATGTTTCCAGTTATTTTTGTTTAGTGAGTTTTAAAACTAGGATGAATATTCTAAATCTAAATAGGTTAGATTCATTTGTTCACTATGTATCAATTGTTATAAAATACAAATTATAGTTATAACTTGTAACTTATAAATAATTAAAATTAAAGTGATAACTTAAGTGATAAGTTAAGTGATAAGTGATAAGCTCAAAATATTTCAGCTTGCTCGACCCGACCCAACTCACCAGCCCAACCCCGCCCCTCCAGTCCCACCCCAGCCCGCCCGCCCAACCGGCCATGGATGCTGTAAAGACCATGGACCTCATCATGGTTGGACCGTGGTTGCCAGACAGCCTGCAGTAATTGAATTGAGTAATCGATGACGACTGGCTATCGAAGTTTTTTTGTTTTATTGTAGTTGGAATAGACTGTATTACATTGTGCTTAGGTCAATTAGGTCTACAAGTCTAAGAGTTAAGTTAGACTTAATAGACTTATAGTAACTTATAGACTATAGTCTATAAGTTGCTATAAGTCTATTCAGTCTAACTGTCTAACTCTAACTGTCTAATGCTAATACTAAGACTATAGTACTGACTAGCACTACATGTTACATGATAGTTACAAGTTACAAGTTACATGTCTTACTGCACGTGTGCAACCTCAGGACTCATTTTCAACTTGCCGTCGTCGTGGCAAGCTGGCCGCCACTTGTGTGATGTCTGCCTGCGGAGATGCTCTGAGTCTGAGGGTATGGTAGATCGGTAGATCATAGATCATAGATCAGACTCAGATCATGATAGCCAATCCATAGGGGGTAGGCCAGGGGCTGTAGCTACAGCTGGTAGTAGTCGGAATTCCCAGGAGTCACAACAATGTGCAGCTCAAGCTCGTGTTTCGAATGGGGACCGAATCTTATCCGCTGGGCTGTAAAACTCAAGCAGTTGCGCGTTGTCGAGTTCCCCCAAGCTCCCCGTGAAGAGCCTCTACGTCTCGAAGTCTCTAAGTCTCGTCTCTAATAGCCTATATACACCCTATAGCCTATAGTCTATAAGATCCCAATGCCGGAGGTGAGCCTCTGCCCTGGAATCTGTTGCAGCTTGCCGCAGTGAATGTGATTGCATGGACGTTTGTATGCCAGGTTTCAGTATCTCGTGTTGCAGTGCAGGCCGGTCTATCGTTTGCCACGCAGCCGTTTTGCTTAAACGGAAGCACTCTCTTTGTTTTGCTGCAAGTCGGAATTGAAACTGACTGCTGCCTCAATTCGCAATGTCCTTGTCAACTCTTCGTGCAGAGATTGAGAAGGGCGAACCCACTCCGGCTCCGTCGCCAACGACCCCATCATCTAGTAGCGTTGCTGGTCCCCAGTGCTCGTCCTGCTTGCAACGTCCAGGAGACTATGACCGGTTTTCCCCAGCGGAAGCTCGCATACTTCTGGTGTGGGCGAAGAAAGGAATCAACAAGGCGGGCCGGGCCTGCGTCATGGTACCATGGCCTAGCCAATCATGTGACCCTGTGACATGTGACCATGTGACCATGTTTGACTGGTAGATGTTCAGGTAATCAGGTAGTATCAGTGGCTCAACGAGTTGCTGAACCTCAGCTTTGTTTGGCCCGGGACTGATAGGCGGTAGGACGGTAGGTGCCACAGTCTTTTCGAACTAACAGCTAGGCAGCTTGTGCAATGAGCGACACGTCTTCTGCACCTGGGCAAAGCGCAAGGGCATTTGCGGTGACGCCTCCTTGTGTCCGGAGCCGTGACTCAGACCAGGGTACTCCACCGGGGCCTTCACCGCCAGCGCATTTGTTGCCGCGCAGGAGGCAAAGGTCGTGGCATCCTTCGTTACTTGAGATACAAGAGGCCGCGGAGTTCGAACGTGACCTGGCGCCGCAGACACCTCCCCGCGCAGGTCGACTTGCTTTCTATCCTCACAGCCCTGCAGATTCCTTCAAAGCCAAAGGCACAAAGCGTTCGAGGGAAGAGATTGATCATGATCAGCCTGATGAGTCTGCCGATCAGACCACAGACGAGGTGCAGAAGAGCGGATCATCGCAGCAAGCTCGAAATCCGGGAATCGATGTGGTGGTCGCCAGGTGCACGAGCACGCAAGTGGCAAAGGATGTTGCTTCGAGTCAGAGCAAGTGACGGGTAGCAAGGGCAATGGTAGCAATAGCAGGACGTGTGTTGAGGGCCACGTGGGTGTCAGGCCGATGATTCCCACTGCAATAGTCAGGTAGGCAGTAGGCAGGCTAGCCAGGAAGTGCTGGCAGTTGGAAGTGCCTAGCACTATGAATCTGATGCACCTCAGCACACGTGTGAATATGAATGAACATCAAACTCGTCGTTGGAGAACGCTCGGGCAAAACAGATTTCTTGTTGAGCAGCCCGCTGGTCCAGCTGAATTACTTTGGGACAATATAAATAATAAATAAATATAATAATTATTATAGACTATAGATTATAAATTATAATAGTTTGCTAGTAAGTATAGTAAGAGTAGTAAGTAGCAATAATATATGTAACATAACATAACTAACGTGACTGATAATGATAAATATGTTCACCTGTAAATTTCTATTGAGTGCTGTGCTAACTAACTATTAACGTAACTAACTAACTTTATTACCCCCACCGCTGAGGCACAATGGCATTCTCTCTGTAGTGTGTCGTTTGCTCCTTTGATAGGGTTTTGGGGTTTAGGGCTTTAGGCTATAGGGTTTAGGGGTTTAGGGTTGCAGTGTTTTGGGGTTTTGGGTTTTTGGGTTTAGTCTAGTGGTTTTGTGGTTCAAAGGTTCAAGGGTCTTAGGGTTTTGGGATTTAGGGTTTAGGGGTTTAGCGGTTTTGGGGTTTAGGGGTTTGGGGTTTAGTGTTTTTGGGTTTAGGGTTTAGGGTTTTTGATTGGAAAGCTATTGGTAATGTAATGACTATTGACTGACGGTTCCCAGCCTAGCTGCTGCCAGCAGGAACTCGGAGCACTGGCGCAATGCAAAATACAGTCCATCAAACTAGGCCACAGGTTAATCTTAGAGTCTAGAGTCTTGAAGTTCGTTGATTTGTTTAGATTAAGACCTATTTACTATTACACGATGTTGTTCTCGGGTACCTTCATCAGTCTGTGACTTTTTTGTTAGGATTCATGTCTCATGACTGTGCGTGATTCTAGCAGTAGCACTGTCGTGCTGCACGGTGGGCAGGCGACGGGCGTGCGTGATGTGCCAGAAGGCAACGAGTGTGGTTGCTGCAAGGCCCATGGAATAGAAGTTTGGTTGGTTAGTTAGTTTTATTGACAGTTATTGAATAGATGGGAGTTTCTGCCTCGAGCCGCTAGAGCCAGCTGGAAGGCTACGCGTAGAAGTTAGAGGATTAGATGATTAGATGATGCGTTTGATGATAGAAGAAGTAGCTTCAGAGTAGAGTGACAAGAGTTAGATACATGGAGTAGCAAGGTAGGCTGCTTGCCCCCCCTGCAGAACACACGGACGTACAACTTCAACAACATCGCGCAGACCGTGCTGAACTCGATGAAGAGTACCAGGGAGGCCAGGTCTAACGGTCTTGTTATTACTAGCTACTTACTACTACTACTAACTAACTAACTAACTAACTAACTACTAACTAACTAACTAACTAACTACCAAGTAGTACTACTACCTACTAACTACTACTAACTACTAACTACTAATACTACTAACTACTAAATGGATTGATTTGGCTAGGGCATGGAGGGGGGGGGTTAGGGTTTCCGCTTCCCAGGTGAATTCTGATTTCTGGGATGGTGTGGGGTTCTTGCGGTCTTCTGGTGCAGGCTCTGGGGAATGGTCCTGTTTGCATGTGCAGTCACTGCCGTTGCAGGATGTCAACGCCAAATGGGTCGAGAAACGGACCGAGAACGCGAGGCCGACGAGTGGCCACCGGACGTATGAGAAAATCAACATGGAGACTTTCCGGACAGAGAAAGCATTTAACGAGATCTACCAAGAAGGCGAGGCCGTTCCCATCGACGAATGGCTTTCGGAACATGGTGTGGACCCGAAGGGATTCACATCGGAGGCCCGGAAAGCGGAGTTCGTGAAGGAGGAGTCTATTTGGGATCAAAGATTTGCATGATAATGGATGATCAACGATGAATATATTTATGTTCTGTATTTACTATATGATATATGATATAAATCGACAACCTCTAGTCTTGTCTTGTCTGTAGTCTAGAAGTCTATTAAATTAAGTCTATAAGTCTATAAGTCTATGAGTATAACTCTACAACTCTAGTCTATAATCTATCAGTTCTACTGCTACTTCTAATATAGTAATAGTAATAATGTTATTGTATTATATTATATAGATCATAGATCCTATAGCCTTAGTCTATGTCTATGACGATCACGATAGCTATGGATGTAGAGCTTGGGGTTCAGGAGTGTGAGGCTTGGGATTGCGATTAACATCAGGGGGTCGTAGTTTTGGTTCCGGCTTGAGAGCAGCCGAACCTCGCAGATTCGCAGGAGTTTGAAATCACCGTCGTCGAGGATAAGGGTGAGCTCCTCGTGCCCATCATGTCAGGCAGGAAGAAGATTAGGATGGGGACACGCTGCGCTGCTGGGAAGCGCAAGGCAGGGTTTCGGTTCGCAGTAAGTTAATTGTTAAATAACTGTGTACAGACTAATATATTCTAGTTCTAGACTAGATGATTAGATGATTACGAAATTACGAATATCTGAATAACTGAACAACTAAGTGATTAACTGGGTCCGTTAGCCCCTGGTCCCAATTCTATAGCACCAATCCCTGTTCCAGACCACAGCTCACGAGAGTGGTGGTGCAGCTGCTTCATCATACGCAAGCCAGAGGCGAGATCTGGATGAGTTGCAAAGCAGGGTTGCAAGCCAAACCTCCGTGAATATGAACTCGCGGCTCGCCCAGTACTTGGCCCGGTCTGACAGTGCGGGAAGTGCTTCACAGAGCACGAATCAGGATCCAGATGATGATGATGATGCCGGCATGGATTTCGCTCCAGCGTGGGTGCCGGTGCAGCGCTCTTCGAGCAAGCGCCGTCGTGTGGAGGCCAGCCAAGCAGGGCGCCCGGGGTCAACGTGGGCTGGCCCCAACAGTCCGCCGGGCAGCTTGCGAGGGGTGGATGCCGATGCAGCCAGCGAGCTGGGCTCGGAACCACCATTGGAGGAGGGCACCGAGAACTTGGACCCGGACTTTGATGCCATGTTGCAGTCGCGAGGCAGGGGCCGAGGTGGTCGAGGTGGACGGGGCCGTGGCAGAAAGGGCTCGCTGGGAGCCAAAGGACAGGGGGCTGGTGATCTCAGCACATCGCAGCATGCCGCGGTGACGAAGTTGAAGCAGGATTTCACAGCCAAGAAGCAGGAGTTCAGTGACGATGTCACGCGCCAGCACTTAAGCACGGGACACAACCATACCGGGCCATACCAGACATTACATTTTCCAAGATGTACTGCCAATACTGCGATTAGTCGACTACTACTCCATTACTGTCACTGCCTGCGTTGTCTGACTATGGCCTGTGGCAACGTAGTTTACTTTGTATTCTGATTTATGCATTTCTGATTCATGATATGCCATTCCCACTATTCCTTTGCTGCAGCTGCGGATGCCTGAAACGCTACCGCTTCAAAGGCGTGCTGGCGTTCCAAGCTGAAGGACCGCCAGATTGAGCGAATGGCAACAAGCATGGAGAACCTTGTCAGCAAGGTTGCGGGCGTGCCCGGGCAGGAGCAGCTGGTGGAGGAGTGATTTTGTGAAAGCATTCACATTCAAATTCTTATTCTATTGTCTTATTATTAAGTAGGCTGCAGGCTATAGGCTACAGGCTATATGGCAAAAACATGCAATGTAATTTAACGTAAATATAGCTATGACTATAACTTATATAACTTATATACTTAAATAAAATAAGTAAGTATATACTTATATTCTATATAATATATAATTAAATAATAAATTTGTAAAAACTATATATTATACTACTTGTACTTTATATGACTTGTAAACTTATAAATAATTTTAAATATTGATATTTATACATATACAATGTATATTTATATAAATTATATATTTCATACTATACATATCTGTTTATATATCATTATTTCTAACTTTTGGATTGTGCGAAGGACGTCTTGAAATTTACCGAGCACGTCCGTGCCGTCTTTCGCCTTTTCACGTCGATGCGGCGCGCAGACTGGTGGGTCGCGGAGGTTTCGGACGAAGACAGAGAGTTGCTGTCTGGCATCTCCTCCAATCTTCTGGCCGAGATCTTTGTGTGGTGTGGCCAGGACCTTTTGAAGTCGACGAGCGGGGCTACCGCAGCGGAGCAGGACGGCTACGATTGGGCTGATGAAGTTGAATGTAGAATTCAGAATACTTAATATAATATTTATATAATTATATAATTGCATAATAATTTATATATTAGTTTACATAAGGTAATAATATAGTATAAAATGCATGTAGTATATAGACGAGTTACAAGTCAAGATAAATCGTAAGTATTGGTTAAGTTAAGTTAGTTTTTAATCATGCCACATAGTATATTGAAAGAGCAGAATGTCAGGAGGAGAAGCGTCTGTGCGACTTCTTTGGCATGTTGTCCATGCAGCCATCAAAGAAGTTCACGATCAAGCAGTATATGGATAACGCTGAGTCCAAAGGCTCTCCGGGGGCTGTCCGACTTGGCATTGGTCTGCAGTCGCAGCTGCTTGGGCTCTTTTGGGACAAGGTCTTTCGCTTGAAAGACACGGCACGGATGCGTGCCCTGCTTGCGTGCGCGTGTCTTGCCAGCACATATACGCCTGCCTATATGATTCGATGCCTATATGCTTGTATATGCTTATTTGATCCTGTATGTGACATCATATGAGAATCATACATTACATAATGTATCTGCTGTACAATAGAAAATGAAGTTTCGAGTCAGAGATTCACAGAAGTTAGAACTTAGAGCTTAGAACAGACCGTCTGAGCTCTGAGCCATGGGTCATGAGTCAGTCATTAGTACTGTACTAGTACTGATTGATTGTCAAGGTCCGCTGTTCCCATCGCAGATCTGAGCAAGCCTCCCGCGCCGAAGTCTGTGCAGTTGGATGACGGCCAGTGCTACAGCGCAAGCACGATGCTGGACATTCAGTTTGTCCGGACCCTTCTCTTGCATGCCCAGGCAAGCCAAGGGGTTTTGGGATTGCAAATGAGTTGTAGTTCTAATTCCGGTTCTAATTATAATTATTGCCACGGGAGCAACCAGAAACCCAAACACTGAACCCTTCACTGGGCCGGCAGTTTTAAGTAAGTTATAAGTATAAGTTATAGTCAGATGAGTCGGCTGCTTCCCTGTAGGACGACATCTTGGGAGATGAGGCGTTGAATCGCACAGCCAGGGCTGCTGTCGAGGCCCACAACTTGCTCAGCGAAAAGATCCAGACATACCTGAAAGTTGGATTGGGCAAGACCTGCGGCTGAGATTCAGTGATATGTGATGATATGTGGGACATTCAGTGATGTGGGGGGTCGTGCGGGGATCAGATCAGTCGGGGTTTGGGGTTTGGGGGCAGCCCCCACGGTTCCAGCCCAAGCCGTGCCCAATAGTGGTAGTATTTAATTTTGGTAACTTTTGGTTGGGGCAACAGTTATGATTTGACTCATATGACTTCTGTTTCTCATGAGTTGGCCTTAATTTCCGCTTGCCAGGAAGTTGTGGGCTGGACTCCAGAGCGCCGCCAAATCGTGCAAGTCGTCGGCGACGTTGATGGAAGACTGCGCGGCGTGCCTGCAGGACTTCCCCGTCGACATCGGGTCCGGGCAGATCATCAACGAACCGCTGAAGCTGCTCTTGTTTTGCCAGTCCACCAATCTTGTCGAGAAGGTTCTCTCAGCGATCAAGTGCCTGAGCGCGTGCAGTGGGCTGCCTGATACTGAGGCTGAGGGATCAGGCTCTACGGATATGAAATCCTTAGCGTCAGAAGTTGACGCGGCTCGGGCGACCGTGAAGAATCTTGTTGGGCCCGCTCTGGATTTGGTTGCTGCGGCCATTCAAGGCTCATCGACACCCAGCGTGGCCACGTCTGTGACGTCGGTCTGCAGTGCAAATGTATTGAAGAATTGCTGGCAGCTTTCTCGTGCGTGCCAGGTTGGACACGGGGATTCTAATTAACTTATAGTCTGAGTCATAGTCATAGTCTATAGTCAACTTATAGTCATAGTTCGAGTCCGAGTCTAGTCTAAATGTTCGATCTTCTACATCCAGAGGTTCCACTGCTACTGCTGTATTTGTCTTAGTATTAGTGGAAGTTTGGTGAGGAAGGTTAGGAAGTCATGGAGAGATTGATTTGTGTCGTGCAGGTGGATGATGGGTGGGCGACCGTGCAGGAGCATGTGATGGATGCAGGCGGCAAAGCCCTCCGCGACGTGTGCTGTCTGACAGAGCTGGTGAGGGCTGCGCAGACAAATCTCACCACCGATACGTTCACGGACGCTTGCAATATCGTCCATAAGGTGCACACGAGTCGCGACTTGCAGCTCTTTACAGACACTGTGCGTGATTGTCCGGAACTTAGAGCATAGGCTAGGTCCTTGCTAGGTGGGGCATTGGGGGCTGCGGAGGATAGCAGGGTCTACGGTCGACGGGTTAGTTAGTCGGTAGTCGGTTCAGTTCAGTTGGTTTAGATTTAGATTTAGATTTTAGATTCAGATGAGTGGTTGTGAGTGACGTCAGGTGCCGGCGGCCCTGCTATCCTGAAGTCCTTGGGGGCGGTGATGTCGAAGGCTGTGTTGGCACATGCGGCTGAGCCTATGGTGTGGTTCCGAGCTTTGGTCAGCGAGGGGAAGCATACCACACTTTTGCAGATGCCAGCATCGAGCCGGGTGCGTATGGGCGCAGGAGTGGAACGGCAGATCAGATGCGTGCAGAAGATCGAGCATTGCAAGACCCCTCCGGAGGATGATTCGGGCAAGATTTTCACATCATCTACGTGGATGAGCAAGGAGCTCGCGCGCGAAGGCTTGGCTGCTCTCTCCGACCTTGTTTCTTTCTCCAAGGAAGAGGCCAATGTGGGCTTCCCCGGCCTCGCGGACGCCCTGGCCGTCTTGGGAAAGAAGCTGCACGACACCTTGGCAGAATTGGCAAAGTCATTGACCGACATCAAGAAGGATGTGTTCGATGTGTATGCGGAGGCCTTGGTTGTGCAGGCAAGCTTGGAGGAAGGTCCGGACAACATTGCTACGGATGGATTGTCAGATGAGGCTAGCAACATCATCAAGAAGTACGATGCTGACTCTGCTTCCGACGAGTCCCCAGTTGCCCTAGCCATTGCCCGTGCCTCGCTTTGCCTGGCCATTTAGGCTGTTTTGCTGCTCCGCTGTAAAGCACCTTGAAGTGTTCTGAAGAAGTTGTAGTAGAAGGAGCAGTAGAAGTTTCAGCAAAAGTATTGTGTTCGTGATTTGGGGTGGGGTGGGTTTCTCTGTGGTCATTGAAAATCGGTCTTTGTGCGAGGTGCGAACACCATGCGGCCATTCGAGGATGTTGTCAGCATCTACATGCCGCGCTTGGATGATTGCCGGGGAATCATTACGGATGATGCAGTCTCTGCTTTGACGACGGCTGCAGATCGGGATCCCAGCACCAAGACGTTCGCACAGACCGTTTTCAGCTTCCTGACGGCAGAGTTGCTCACGCGTGATCGAGCGGAGACCGCCCAGGTCACGAAGGACGCCATGGGTCTGGTTAAGTTCGGGAGCAGCACTCTTGGACTGGCAAAGAAGGACCTGCCCACGATCGCCAACAGCAAGCTCGACAAGTTGATCAAGGAGCATCAGTAATTCAACTATTGGAATCAAGTTTCGGTTTAAGCAATTAAATGTTCAGGGTTTCGGTGCAAGTTTAGGTAGAATTGTGGTTTTGGGGTTTAGGGCTTTAGGCTGTAGGGTTTAGGCGGTTTAGGGGTTTAGGGTTGCAGTGTTTTGGGGTTTTGGGTTTTTGGGTTTAGTGGTTTTGTGGTTTTGGGGTTTAAAGGTTCAGGGTCTTAGGGTTTTGGGATTTAGGGTTTTAGGGGTTTAGCGGTTTAGGGGGGTTTAGGGGTTTGGGGTTGTAACTTATTTCATTTATTTCTATTTATATACAAGTTTACAATTAAGTCATAATGTACTAAATAGTTTATTTATAATATATATAATGTATTATATATATATATATATATATATATATATATATTATTATACAGCCACTACAGTACTACAGCAGTGCTACTACTGTACTACTGCTTGAAACTAAAGGTTAGAGTAAACGTAATACTAAATAATCTGACAGGAGATGAAAGCAAAGGGAGCGGTGGGTCTGAAGGCACCGGGGCCCAAGGCATCAAAATCCCCATCGCCTGGTCAGTCCCCTCGCCGAGTGAGTTCGAAGCGCAAGCAGTGATGTGACATGGGAATTTGAGAATTCGAATCCCCGCAGCCCGGCATTTTGCTGATGAGCAGCGGGCTTTCTGAGGAGTAAAGAGTAAAGAGGAGAAGTTCCTGTGGCCATGTGTGCAAAACACTGACCGAGCTTCTCCGAGATGCAGTGTACCACTCTGAGACTCCTCCAGAGCCTTATCCGAATCCGAACTGAAGCCTAAACTCCCACGACTCTAGCCTACTTCCAACTTCTAATTTCTGATTTCTGATTTTCGAATCCTAGAATCCTGAGTTTGTAGGTTCGCATAGAGACGGTGTTATGATAACTGTTATGAGTTATGAATGAGTCATATGAGTCATATCATATCCTTGCGGAGTTTCAGGCAGGTTACAGGATGCTCTCCGGATTCCTTTGAAGTCTTCTTTTGACGCCGGCAGCTGTCGGCGATGCCGCTTTCGTTACCAAGACCTGGTCCTGGTTCTAGTTCTGATGTCTTGGAACATTTACTTGGAACTTGGAACCGTTAATACTCCTAAACCCGATGCCTCATGTTTGGCATAAACAGCCTAACTTCCTAACAGCCTAAACCCTGAATCCAGTCGCATCGTTTAAGCCCACCCGGCTCATCCGAGTGCGGGAACGAAAGCACAACCTTTCGATTGTTGAAACTTTCGACATCTTTCGACTGAGTCTGAACGTCTTTACACAGCCGCAGCCACGTCTCTGTACAGTTCCACAGTTGGCTGGTGCTGGCATCGTCGCCCGTGAGCAGGCAGGCAAAACCGTGGTGCACGCGAATGCGCTCCAAACACTAGTTTCGAGTCACTCTAATGCATCGGCTGCATCGGTCGATGAAAAGCTCAGGTATGTCCCAAGCAACGAGAACCGAACGAGACAACGAGAAAGTATGGATTCGCTGCGTGCTGCTCTTGGGCTGCGTGATATGCCCGACACGGAGTACAGACAGCTACCAGGTCCGTATCGAGCGGTTGCAACACGAAGCCGTACAGCTATTCAACTCTGTTTTCAAATTCAACCAACTATACCCACCCTACCCTGCCCTGGCCCTGAACCTTAATGTCTCAAGCCTAAATAAGCCTTCAAGCGTAAACTCTAAACCACTATATAAATTGACCCTACACCTTAAATCGACATTTCAATTCAGGTTCACGACGTTGTGTCGGCAGCAGTACGGTGACCGCTGGGCGGTTGGCATGAACTGCAGGGAAGCGGAATCCGTGGACCTGTTGTACCACCAGTTCATGGCGTCCCTGGCTCCTCAGCTTTGTGAATGTTACGATTTGGCAGTTGCTTGAGCTGCTGCAGCTCTCCGAGTGCTGGCGGTTTCGGATTCGGGGATTCTTATTTCTACAGCTTCTGTGTTGCAAAGCTAGCAAAGCTAGATTTCAAGTTTTGCAAATGATAATGGCAATGGGGCTTTCATCGTCGAGGAGCCGAGATCGTTAGGGTCAGGGTGGCGAACAGGGCTTTCCGCACGGTTTTGTGTTAGGTTAAGAATTAAGAAACTAAGAGATGTAGACGAGGCGTTTTATTCGGTCTTTGGGCTAGGCAATTGTCTACTCGAAAGCATCTGAGTTGCTTCATCTCGTCATATCATCTAAAAATTTGTAAAAAAAAGTTTTAAGCTTAAGTCTTAAGAAGTTAACCCGCCCGGAAGCATTGTCTCAGAATACAGGAATAGCAAGTTTTATGACGTCAACAATGGCAAACGCAGGCACCCGGGGAGACTGACTTTGGCGACGTAGTGGTGGATCTTTCGAAGAGCTTGGAACGCGGGGCATACAAGACGGATGGGCGCATGCCTACGCTTCCTGCAGACAGCTAAGTAGCACATAAACTATAAATAAATAAAGAGGTTACGGAATGCTGCTGGCGTAAGGCTCACGACCAACAGCCATATCTTCTCCTTCTCCCAAAAGAGATTGATGCGTCCACCTGAATTATTTGCCTCGCATCAATCTTAGCCTGTATGTGGTGTGTGACAGCGTGATCTGGGCCCTGGACCTATTCATCTGATCGGAAGAGTCTAGTTTCTGACTGCCCAGGCATGGATTCAAGTTGAATGAAATCAAATTTATGCGGAACAAGCGGAGCTTGTATGCTGCGATGACCGGCAATGCGATGAGCGTCCCGGCCGTGGGTGCATGCATCTTGAGTGTGACTTGGTCAAAGTAGCTGTGCCGTAGCCTAGGATACGATTTAGGATGGAAATATTCCACTCCTCCAAGTGCTCTGAGTCTGAGTCTCAGGTGATACTTGTTGCCGGCTTGCGCGAGAGCCACCAGTATCCAAAGCTACATGCGAGGGTGATGAAAGCCGGCTCAGACATGAGCCCCGAGGGCAGTACGGAGTCAGAAAGCATGGACGTGGACGACGACGCGTGAATGCTGAATGACTGCATGCGACAGAAAAAATCAACGACGACAGTGACATGAGAACACGAGAGTCGAGAGTTACGGTACAGCCCTGATGCCCTGGTCCTGGATCTTGAATCCTGATTCCTAGCAATTACCACGCCAATACTTATTAGGCCCCGAACCCTAAACTGAACAGTTCCAATCAGCCCTATAGTCTCGAAAGAACCACGTCTTTGTGCTGTAGTCTGTAGTAGCAAGCCTTGCGAAGGTTAACCTGCCTTTAGATAATACAAACTTAGCAACTCTCACGTCTTATTAATTTGATCCCGCGCGTGTATTATGTTTGCTACTTTTACTACTTATCATATCATCTGATTATCACCTTATGTCATGTCAAATCGCTTCACTCTATCATTTTGCCTCGTCCACATTTGTTGTTACTTGGGATCTTCAGAGCTACTTCCTGGTCGTTTGCACGTACTTTTGGCACTGTGTTTTTGGGGATCGCGCCAACCTCTTGGCACCACTTTCCGTCGATCGTGCCAACCTCTTAGCAGCACTTTGGGGGGATCGCAGCAACATCTTGGCACCAGTTTAGTGGGATCGCAGCAGCCTCCTGGCACCACTTTATTGCGGCTCGCACCAAACCCTTGGCACCATTAATTAGAGGTGACGGCAACCCCTTGACACCGCATTTTGCTTGATCGCACCAACCTTCTGGCACCATCTTTTCGCGGGTCGCGGCCAGGGCCATGTCATGGATTCCGGGAGTAACTTAAGCCTTCCCAGGGCTTGCCAACATATAGCGTATATAGTAGGAAAGGATCCGTCTCTACTTGGGGTTGGGACCCTGTAAACCCGAGCCAAGCCCTCCGCCAGCGTTGAGGGTTTCACGTTTGAGGCCGGCCCGACGCCATAAACCCTGGAGCGGTTGGGCGAACAAACTTCACATCCAGTACAGCCAAGTTCGCAGGAAGCGTGACGATCAAGTGCTCGGCTCAACCCCGAATCCCAGCTTTGAGACGAAACCTTGCGAACCTCGCTGTGTAAGTAGGGTTTGGGTTTACCCAGCAGTCTGCAGGGCTCATACCGTAGACCCTCATCCCTGATACCGGTTCAGGCCCCAATTCTTGAATCCCAAGAGTCGGAGGCAGAACGCCGACGACCCAGCGCGGGTCCGGAAGGTGCCGGATGTGGGTAATATATATATATATATATATATGTATATATACATATATATATATGTATATATATATATATATGAACATATATATATATATATATATATATATATATATATAGGGGCCTTAATAACTAATTACCTATACTATGTTGGGGGTTCCTTAGTATAGATATAGTATAGTACACCCCAAAACCTTTAAGGCCCCTATATTAATCGGATGGGGAGTAGGCATCCGGTTTCGAGAGTGTTAGGGTTAGGCGGTTAGGGTTTGTAGGGAGAAGGATTTGGTGTCTCGGGCATTTAGGGACCTCTTGGATCAAAGGCTTATCAGTGTGGCACACGTGGGATGCGGCCTATGCTGTGGCGCGGCGCAAATTTGTACGCTCGCGTCCTTGTTGTTTACGGAGGATCGGCTGGAAATCGTCCAGCATGGAGCTTTTGGCAACAAACATTCTCTTGTCTCATCATCGCGAGCATCGTCACTGCCATGGTGATGGTGGTTTGTAAATCACAGAACGAGTTTGTACTAATATCCTTGCGTGCCGTGATCCCGAAGCCTGAGATTCAGCATCTTCTGCAATCAGGGCCTTACATCACTTCGGCGCAAGGCCTTCTTCGCACATCCGAAGGACTCACGGATTAGAGCTAAGACGGCTTATAAGCATTGAGAAGTTCAAGGTTTTGGGCATGTTGGGACTTGTTCCTTTCGTTGTCGCTCGTGGATGCTGCGTTCCCGAGTGCAAGGACGCCCGCGCGGCGATCAGAAGTTTGGGGGAGGCCTCGTTCTGGGAAGAGGCGCCAGTCGCGCGGGAGGGTGCCTGGAAGTAGTCTCGGTTTGTCTTCGCCTGAAGCACTGGAGTTCTTTACGCGGCTACCACATCGTCTGCTCTAAGAATTCGCAGTCTTCTACAACACTACCCTTCATTTTCGTGAGTATCCCAAGGTGTTGACACGCCAAGCCCAGGCTTTCTTCAGCCATTCTTCCGCATACCGGAACCAACCACTGCTATCAGTGTTGGAACCAGTTTTCACCATACACGCATCAACTACCGGCTCGTTTCTTGTCCGTGCTGTTTCTTCAGCGGTGGGCCGCAAGAGACTCTCAAGTAGTTTTAGCCTGCTAGGTGACTTATATACCATCGGCGGAAAGGGTGGACATCTCCAGATCCTCGCTCTACAAGCCCTCAGCTAGACCTCAACCCTGCGAAGTGTTACGTACGGTACTCCGTCTAAACCCAAAGCCCTCAACCCTAGACCCTATACCCAGAAAGGACCCACTCGTGGATCCCCAGAGCCTAAGAGCCCTAAACGGCCCAAAGAATCAGCAGGCCTTGGCCCTGCTCCACGTGAAGTGGCATGTGGCAAGCTGAGAGCACGGCGGTTTTGCGGTTTCGAGTTGACGGGTTTCGGGGTTGTAGGGTTTGGGAGTTTACTTTTTTCTTTTTTTTTTCGGTTTGTAGGGTTGAGGGTTCAGGGAATTAAGGGGAGGGGGATTAGGGGTTTTGGGGTTGGGGAGGAGCTTGATCACGTCCGGCAAGGCATAGTAAAGATTTAGGGTTGTGCCTCGCCTCAGTGATCTGAGTTTCGTCGTAGGTTTTCTCGGTGCTTCGGGGTTGAGGGTTGAGGGTTGAAGGCAGCACCCTATCCTGAGCCCAAGATCCGCGCTGTTTGACGTTTTCTTCGGAACCCTGCCTCCCCCCCGCCCCCGCTGGCATAATTCTGCAAAGCTCGCCGGGCCCACCCTCAATGCAGCATCAACATCTCAGCCTTCTCTGAAAAGTCATACATGACAGAGCAAAGATTACGATGAGGTACCCTCGCCCCGAAGGTCTAACCTACCTCTAAACCCTAGATGGCCCTGAATCAAACCGAAACCCAACCGGAGACCCTAAACCATGAACCATAGAGTTGTTCAAAAAAGCCCCTATTTTAGGGCTCCCACCCGAGGCGCCCTTCCTACCGACCGGCCGGCTGTTCAGTGCTCACATCTTAGTTCGGTGGCTCCGAGTTTGGGGTGCTGAAACACCCTGGCCCTAACTTTAGAAAGCAATACCTAAACCCTAAACCCTAGTTAGAAGGGTTGCAGGGATCGAGGCGTCTGTGTCGGGGTTTGAAGATGTTTGTTTCTGGGGCTTCAGGATCTCCCAAACATTGGTTTGTCTGAATGCGCAGTATGTCATGCGGACATGTGTACCCGCTCTCTCTCTCTCTCTCTTGCTCTCTCTCTCTCTCTCTCTTTTCCTTCCTTCTCTGTATCCAGTGTAGTATGCGGTTCAATTGCATGTCTGGGTTTTGACGTCGCGTGTTGCACTGCTGCGTGCTGCGCGCTGTGCTTTACAGTGTCAGCTGATGTGCCACAAGATAGTGCCCTGGCAGGCCGAGGACGCATAACAGTGAAGCCACGAACCCTGGACTCTGCACCTTCGCACCTGAACTGAAAACCCTGGACACCACAACCCCAGAATCCAGCGCTCCAAGCCATCCCAAGCTCGAACAAAACTAGACATACTTAGAATAGGGTTCATATACTGTAAATAGAATAAGGACCCCCCCAACAAAAGAAAACGTAGAAGATGTAACTACTAATTATTATATTATTATAGGTAATCATTAAGCAAGGCCGCTACAGTACAGAATGCACCCTAGAACCCCAAGCCCACAAAGCCCGGGAGCACCAGGAAGCCATTGGTATCCTTCATCCGGACCATTGGCCCCTGGCCCTTGCTATCCTCAAGGCTGCCTCTGGGATTTTGAGGGGCCTGCGGGTTTCTCAGGGGAACTTTTAAATAGTTGTTAAATTTTGGGTCCTGCAATCCCTAAGAGATAGCTACAACTATCATTTGTCGCCAGAGGTCCAAATTCAGTATAGGTTTAGGCTTGGAGACTCGGGATTTAGGGTTTGGTGGGTTTGGGGATTACGCCTACGGCTGGTGCCTGTAGGTTTGGGCGAGTCATCCGTCCAGAGCACGGACACTCTTACGGTTCAGGGTTTAGGGTGTAGAACCTAGAGTTTAAGGTTTGTCTTCTCTCTACCGCATTCGGGGTATTCTGAGGAAGCAGTTTGAAGCTGAGCCGTCCAGTTTGCACATGCTCCCGTCGGTAGCTTCGGAAATGCCGCTGCTTGTTCGTTAGATTCTGTGACACGCAGTGGTCCACTGTCCACAGTCCTAACGATGTTTTGTCGAGTTTGTGTGCTTGAAGGAGGCCAAAGAAAATGCCTCGACTTGGGATGTGGAGGCTCTGCTGCGACTGCTTCTGCAGGGTTGAGGGCTTATAGTTGAGGGTTGACTCCCTTACCCCGAGCCCCCAAAATCAGGAGTGTACAGGGAACCCACTCAAGTAAGGATCTCTGCACAAGAACTACCTTAAAAATGTGATTGTGTAGTCTCGTTTTGGAGTCATTGGGACTTTGATAACTTTGATGTTCATCATCTCCTTGGGCGACAGTAATCCCCTGCGTCTTTCGAGAAATCTTTAGACTTTAGACCCCCATGAGGAGCTTATTCCTCAGTGCTGACCGGATTTACATAAGCCTAGTGCCGTCCCCAAGAAAAAGAATTCAGCCCCCCTTGCTTCGAAGTTTTGTGGTTTCATGTGTCCATGACTCTGAATTTGAGGTTAAAGCTTCGCCCGCCTGCCGTTGTCGTAGTTCCAAGATCTCACTGCTGCGAGTTTCTGGAGATCAAAACTTCACCTCAGTACATGGATTCTGTACGTATACATCCAACAGGTAGATCTCGAAGTCCTTTGCAGACTCCCTGAGCCTCGTTTGATCAGTTTTAATATCGGGCGTTGGCGGGTGGGTCCTGATATCGTGCAGCAGGTTCTCAACACCGCCAGCACCCCGGATCGCCCAAGCGGTGTGAGTGGAGGTGGGTACGGGTAGTGCCCAGAGATTTGGCGCCGGCTTCAGGCCTTTGTTTGGGAAGTTGATTGAGTTGCAGCACTAGTGTGCTAGCAATAATGGGAGGCCTGGCTAGCCACCATTGATCATCGTTGCTCTAGCAGAATATACAAGAATAGTTCCCAAAGCATTTAAGGACTTCCGGCTGTCGGCGGACACCCTAAGCCTCTGAGACTCTGAGGCCATGCATCTATGCAGCACCGCAGGGCATCGGGACCGGGCAGATGTGTGCAGCTCTTGCAATGGTCATAGGGGGGTTAATGAACAGACATGGTCATGCTTAATACATGCTTGCATGCGTTTCTGATGTACACAAGTGTGCAACTATCGAGATATGTGTATTTATGTGCATACCCGGTACATGCGCAGATGTGTCTTGATGGCAGGTTTTGCGCATGGGCTTTGTGGTGGAATAATTGCATTGCATCAATTCCGGCCTGATTATTTCCTGGCACCGTTACTCCAGCCGCGGTTATATTAATATTATATTATAATATTATAGTAGACAATATATTTATAGTATACTTGTGCGTCATTGTAGTATAGTTTAGTTTTCGCGAGAGGATGTGGCCTTGGCACTGTTCCATTCGCTTCACGGGTTTGCACCTCAGCATGCCTTGTGAGCTCTGTGTCTGCCCGACTACGAGAGTAAGAGTACTCGAAAGTTATGGTACAAGCACTCGTATAGCGCGAACACTAGTAATGATAGTAGTATCTGCATAGTCATTTTTGGCGGAATCTTTAACCAGAAGTGGTAGTAACTAGTAAGTTGTCATCGTAGCAATAGCAGCAGCAGTGGCAGTAGCAGCGGGAGTGGTAGCAGTCGTCGTCGTCGTAGGAGTAGGAGCAGTATGGAGCGGGAGCAGGAACAGGAGTAGGAGAACGAGAAGGTGAAGGAGTAGCAGGTGTGAGAGCCGGTAGATGTTTGCAGTCGCGCAGTCTTGTTCATCCTCAGCGTCTTCGCTGTGGTCGCCGCTATGTTCAACATCAACATCTTAACATCTCTTTGCACCTGTGACCGTAACCACAACCCTCATTTCCATCGTGACGGTTATCATGTTCCACGACATCTCCGTCATCGTCGTCACCATCATCATCATCGTTATCATCGTCATCCATCGCCATAATCATCGTCACCGTTGTCATCATCGTTGCCATCATCATCATCATCACCATCATACTAATAGTAATTATAGTTAGCCAGAATCATGGTCACCGTCATCGTCATCATCACCATGACTGTTACCGCAATCCATCTTCACCGTGTGCATTGTCATCCGCACCATCATCTTCATCGTTGTGATCATCGTTGTCAGCATCACCACGACCACTCGGGTCATCATCATCACCATTGTCATCACCATGATCAGCATTATCATGATCATCACCATCATCATCATCATCATCGCCATCGTCGCCATCACCACCATCACCATCACCATCGTCATCGACGCCGTCGTCATCATCGTCATCATGGTCACCATCATTGCCATAATTGCTTGGTCTCTTCATAACCGTTTGTGCATTTGACATGGAAGAAAAAGCAGCTGAGGCTGGCACTGCTTCCGAATGTTTGCACTTTCAACACTGCCATGAACGCCTATTTCGCAGATGGGCGATGGCAGGCCCCTCAGATCAGTGTGGATCTCCCAAGGAAGGGCCTGCACAATTATCTTGCATATCTGGGTGAAAGATCCGGGTGCCTTGCATTGAGGTATCGTCGCGTGATAACCCTGAGCCCTCCCAAACCCTAAATCCCAAGTCCTCAAGCCCTAGACTAAACCCTTCAACGCGAAATCCTGAGATGTCCTGACGTAGGCGTGAAAGAGCCCAGACCAGATGTCCCAAGCCCTTGCTGCATCGAAGACTTTGAGCTCGAATCTCTGATCCATATCGGCCTTACATCCTAAAATCCTGAACCCTAACCGAACCCAAACCATAGTAACAAAACAACCTAAACTCTAAACCGCAAACAGCGCCCCAAGCCCCTCGGGCTCGCAAGAGTCCCATCCCTTCATGCCAAGGGACGAAGCGCTTCGTCTGCTCGAGGACGGGGTTTCGGGCTTTTAGGCTCAGGGTTTAGGATTTAGGGTTTAGGGTTTAGGGTTTATTGGTTTCAAGTGAATATTTTCAGTGGGATTTTGGGTTTTGGACCTTTTCGAGTTTGGCAATGGTCTAGGACGTGCTGTCTGATTTCACTGGGCTTTTATACCGTGCGACCTATCTTCGACCAGCTTGTGTTAAGTGCTATCATCATTGTCAGTATTAACGTTGGCTGGCCATTTGTCGTTGCTCCTTTAAAGACTAATGCTGTCATTCTGTACAACTATGCACATCAGCTCGGCTAGCTTGGCTCGTGCTTGTCCAACTGGTACGTGTTAGACTATTGAGCTGTCAAGTGCGAGACACTCGCCATTTGCTTGCCGCAGTAGTGATCTCAAAGGCGAGAGTCGAAAGCAAGCATTTTGCATTCTCGCTTCAAGTCTCGAAATAATTACATCGGTGCAGGGTTCTCACCTTGGCTTTCACAGGGTCCGGAATACCTTCTCAGAGCACCTGCGGGTCTGCGGTGCTAACCATAACAGCTTGGTGGCATACATGTCAACTGGAGGCTCGCGACTCGGAGAACATGGGATCTATAGGGCTCCTGTTTGCGTCACGCCTGCGAAGCACGACACAGTACCGATTGAGCTGGGCGTTAGGAAGAACACAGGTCATAGTCACTCTCGCAGGCCAGTCATCGCTGTCAACAGAGCAAGGTCATAATTTCTCATACTTACGGTAGAAACCGAGCCGAGTTTCCAGGACATGTGGGATGGACTCCTCATGCCCGACATCGTCAGCTTCTCGTTGGCAGTCTGAGAGATGCTGCAATATACTCACAGCTGCAAGTTCCGCGACAATGGCAATGGATACTGTGACGATGACGATCACCCCCTAAGCAGGCACTACCCCTACATAGCCCTGCCACTACCAGTACTTGCCGTTGACAGAAGCAGCGACAACGACAGCCACAACCACAAGCAAAGCAAGCACACAAGCAATTCGTTTTGATAGCAAGAGCCAGAGCAAAGGCATTTCATTCACACGCAGCGGGAGGATTCTGTCTGTGGTGAAACTTGACGTCCACGCTTTGCGAGGGATCGACCTACTGCTCTGCTTGCTAAATTGCGCGGTCACTTCATGACGAGCCGTGCCTTAACACAGCACTCGCACACGCTCCGCCCCTCAAGGCTGCAAGCAATGAAGTCGGGATCAGACGTGTCTTCAGTGAGTCTGGATGCAGACTCTGGCACTTATGCTGTAGTTCACCGGCTGATTTGCAATGCATCGCTGACTAATTGGCGGCATTCTTTTTGCACTCTGCTGTCTCGCGGGGTGTCTAGCCTCGCTGTGAGGGCTCAGTACGAACCACTAGCTCTATGTTATAGTAGAGGCGGTGAGGCAATGAGACACTCAGTAAAGGCAGGCCAGGCGCCGCTTCCAGTCCGTTGTTGCCATTTGTAGATGGCGGAGCAACTCCTGCCGGACCTGTGCTGGTGACATGAAGCTCTCCTGTCCCTGGATGGGAGATCGTTGAGGTAACTGACTTTGGCGGTGGTCCCAGGGGAGAAACTCCTCCCGGGATTCCTCCTTTCGCTGGCACTCCAGGTGCCTTACCTGGGCCCGTTGTCCGGTCTGTGCTGGATCCACTTCCTGGCAAGTTAACAGGCTTCGGAGGCGGAGGACCCTTAGGCCCAGCTGCTGCAGGGGCCCCTGTAGGGACCGCAGTGTCTTCGGAGTCGGACTCCCGAATTGAGTCACTTGGTGGTGGCGACCTGGAGATGTGAGGCCGACGTCTCACTGGAGGAGGGGTGCGGGAGGTCGCTCTGTTGCCATTCTTCTTCGGTGTTTCAGGCATGGCTTCTACAGTCTAGACAGCTGGCGAGTTGAGCCTGTGCGAGAAAGACAGTAAGCTTCCAGAAGACTTTGGGCTGACTACTCAGTTGCAGAACCAGGCCCGTGACTGCGCTCGGAGCTTCGAGTGCGACCTCAGGATACATTTGCTATCTGGTGATGTAGGTGAAGCAACCTTCAGTCTAATAACAGATTTTTGCACACGCAGCTGCATTATCTGTTTGGGGAGGAGCTCCACCGATAGAGGGGAGTCCTCACGATCAGAGCGGCCTGTTATCGCCTCCGTACTTAGTGCCCGATTTCAGGCTCTGGTAGTACTCTATGACAGAGGGGGGCACTACGGAAGGGGTGAGAATGACGCCGTTCTTGCTACGGAAAAATTGCACCCCTACCTGCATGGCCCTGCGTGGATCGACAGCTATCAGCATCGACGAGCTATCTCTGAAACCAGAAACACCAGGTTTCCCATAGTCCCGATCCGAGACGAAGTGAACATGCTGTCGTCCCTCTCTGCCACGTCCGCCTTTGCCGCGGCCCTTGGAGATCTTGTTCTGAGGCAAAAGGCCACGTTGACGTATGGAGTCATACAAGGACCAAAAAGTGCCATGGTAGAGCATTTTGGGGAGCATCTCCTCCGTGAGTTCCTCCAACACCTCGTTGGAGTCCACATCGGAGCGAGAATGCCCTTGCAGGGCTCTGATGTACTTCTGGCCTTGGCAATCACCAAGCTCGTACCTGCCTTTTGCATTACTCCGGACGACTTCCATGAGGTCGCCTGCCGTGGCGTGCTGTGCCTGCACTCTTGGCCAGCTCAAGACGTCCTCTAATTTGGCCCAACCAGCCGAAGTCACGCTGATGTAGGGTTGGTGTCCGTGCCGGAGCAGGGCGGCTAGGGCCTTCGAGACTTCGAACGAGAAGTTGCTCTCAGGCTTCGTAGAGGCAGTGCAATAGCCCCCTAGATCGCCGGGTTGTCCCTCCCAGGCCACGATAGTGGAGCTACGTGGCGTTGTGGAGCTATGGTCGTCCGACGCCCTTGTCGGGGGAGGAACTCCACCCTGTGAGCTGGACGCCGGCTCACTATCTGGAAGGGGAGCAGCTCCACCTTCCTTAGCTCCGCTTGACGAAGCTTCGCCAGGCAGTTCGTATCCCAACGCCGCGAAGGAAGCCCGTGCTTGTCTCAGTGGTATCTCCAACAAGCCACTCCACTCGCGGAGGTACTCACCTAAGGTGAGTGTATCCTTTGTCGATATTTGCAGTAGCAGCGCTCGGATTTTGACTGCATCGTAGGAGTATATAAGTTGGTTTGTTTTCTTACCACGTTTTTGCGATCCAGAGTGCGCAGCCTCCACCTCAAACATTGGTCGCACGAACACGTGCCGAGGTCCTATCCGCACCATGCAACTGTATCCGGCAGCTAGATGCCTGTTTGACACCCTGTGGAGATACACTCCTGGGCGTGCCTCGAAGCTTCGCGTGCCGGAGAGGTCAGGAGTCGAAGGAAGTAGCCTGCCCGTAGCAAGTATCCCATGCAAACATTCCAAGTGTGTTCCGTGGAATGCAACCTCACTGTCCCCTGCAGGAAGAATGTTCGGTGAAGAATACTCAAATCGAAACCACCCATTCTCCTCTGGTGTGGGATAGCCAAGCTTTGGTTGCAGAGGCTCATTGGCAAGTCCCCGGCGAGAGGCCAGAAAGGTCTCCAGGAGAGCATTGGCTATCTCCGGAGAGGGGCGTTCCACCTGAGTGAGCCCATCTCGCAGCTGCTGGGTCACTGTCACTGTTACTCGATGATTGTTCAGATCAGTGATGTTCCCGTCACAGTCTGAAATCAGACTGGGAAAGGGGGTATAGCCAGCTGACTGAAGAACTTTGATCACAGCTTCCGTGTTTGGGTCCCCCGAGGGAGGATCTCCACTCTTGGCCTTTGCTGCAGGGGGAGTATCTCCACCCTCGCTTTGACCAGTACTTCTCTTCTTGGAAGGAGGAGGAGGGGGAGTGACTCCACCCTTTCCACTTCCTAACTCTTCCTGTCCACCAGTTCCTTTGGAGGCTCCTTTATATGTAGGATAGCTTTCACCGTGAGCACGAGCGGAGCGCCTCCACTGGCGCAGGAAATTGCGATACGTGACATGCGGAAGTTGGTCACGTATCCGTCGTTGGCAGAATTCCTCGTACTCCGCTTGATACGAGGGATCCTGTGTTGACTCAGGTCTGGACATGATGCTGAGTCTTGAGAGAAAGCTAAGAAAGCTGCGGTTGTGAGCTCAAGCTGACTTCAAGGAAGGCAGTCAGACCTATGCAACTGAGCTCCAGGCGACCACTAGGAGACCTGCATCACGGATGGTGAGTTGCTGTTGGCGCAGTGTGGCTCAGTACAGACGGAAATTGCAGGCATCGACGCAAACCTTTTAATAAAAAAACCATAGGGAGAGACTCCACGATCTATACACCCCTCGTTGGGGGAGAAACTCCGCCAACTAGGGGAGAAACTCCTCCTAGAATCTGCACTTGTTCAAAAACCCCTGGGGAGTAGCTCCTCCAGCTTTTCGCCAAAGGGAGAAACTCCTCTTTCTGTTAGAGAAGCCCCTGCTTAGGGAGCATCTCCTCATTTCACTTGGCTCAGGAGCTGGCCGCGTTGAGGCGATTGTAATGTACCTCCCACGTCGCCGAGGCCAGGTTAAGTTTGCCGTCCTCAGCAAAAAACTTGGACCTCAACGTCTGGACATCAGCTTGATAGGCCTCTTGGTACTCAGAGGGGAGATATCTGGCGACGTATCCCGTAATATGGGATTCTCTTTCCATTATCTCCAAGTCGTACCGCTGGTAGCCGAGGCTCGTTGGAGAGAGCAAATCTCCACCATGCATGCGTACCAAGCAGAGGTACTGCATCCCTTGTTCAACCAGGGCTCGTCGTCTTCTGAAGCGGATCTCTCCCCATTCATCGATCCCTGAGATTGAATGGAGATGAGCGAGCACCTGTCGAATCCTACCCTCCGGGAGTAACTCCACGGCAAGGTTCAATATCTCATCCTTTGTGATGAGCCCAAGGCCCTTCACTCTCTCCAGCAGCTCTGTAAGCACGGTCCAGGGGAGTATCTCCACACCTTGGGCCTTCTGATGCAAGAAGTGCATCGCTGCTATCGTCGGGAGCAGCATCATGGCAAGTCGTGTTGGCGTCTGATCATACATGGTCGAGGGGTTAATCCCGGTCTAAGTGATTAGCTTTTGAGCCTGAGAGCTTTGTCATGAAGGAGCATGTGCGGCAATGCAAGGCAATCCAGCTTGAGTGCAGTGCTCCGCGGGAGGGCCTCCTCGCCATTCATCGAAGGCGCTTCAAGCTCCTCGCAAGTATGAGCATGCTAGGGCCAGGAAATAGGTGGGAGCAGCTCCTCTACACAAGATTTGCTTCTGCTGAGCCTTAGGTTCCAGTCCTGCCCACTCGTGGGGCAGAGCTGAAGATCTTATCCTCTGGAGAAGATCAGGAAAGCAAATCGCGAATCTGACGAACCAGCGGTGATGGCTGAGTTCCCAGTCGCTGAAAGTCCGCGTTAATAAGCGAGAATGCAGTATTGCCGATTAGGGACTGCAAGGTATCCTGCAGTTCAGAAGTGGCCGCCCTGGTTGACAGTTGGATCTGGATCCGAACTGGACCTCCCGTCATGCCTTCGGTCAGTGGCCGCGAAGTTTTGAAGAGCTTGATGTGTTCCGGATCGGAGGAAATTCTAGTGATTGCGTCTCCCAAGCCTGAAACGACTTGAGCCGTAGTGAGAGGGTCTTCCACCGTCTCGATCATCTTTTGTTCGGTGGGACTCCACTCCAGGAACGGCCATTCGCCGTCTTGCGTCATCAGCTCTTCATTCTGCAGGCGCTCCTGTATGCTCTTATCACGGCTGGTAGTCACCAATCGCTCCTTGAGTTCCCTGAGAAACTTCAAGGTCATGGCTG